CTTGCAAGGTAAGCTTTCGTGTCCTCGGTTTAGCCATGTTGTGGTTCCACCATGTCCCATGGGGGTGTGGTTGTATGCATGCTGAGTTACATGCTTTGAATATTTGAAATGCTGTTGAGCTTTATGTGTAATGACTTTTAATATGCATGTGTTGTTCCATCTTGACGGTAAACCTGAGTATGTAGCGTCATACAAGATGGTGATCCGGGGTGGATGCAAGTAGCATCTTGCACTAGTGTGGGTATTTGGTGTATGTAAATCCTGCATTTCTCTGGCCAGTAGAATAGAATTGACACACATGACATGATTATCTGCTGCATTGCACTATTTTAGAACTGATGATGATATCTGCTTTTAAACTTATATTGCACATGTAAGTGAGCTTGGGGTGGAAGATCCTTGAGGACCCCTTGTCTTACTGAGACTTCTTGTTTAGAGATCTCACCCCACGTTTGGGGAATGCTTATTTCAGGTTCCGGTAGTTTGGTGACTGATGCCTCTGGCGGCAGGAGGCCAGAGCTTAGTTGATGATATTATGCTGTTTTGCTGCCATGACCGAATATGGATGCTGTTTATGTTTTCCGTTATTTATGTTTATGTTGTTGTTGAGACTGATGTTGGGCGTGTGCCTTATTTGAGTGAGCATGGGGATTGTCCATGACACTTTATGTTAGTGCTTCAGTTTGGAGTTGTATAAACTGCTAGATGGTCCGGTCTACGTTATTGTAGTTCCGTGACTAGAGCCACACTTGTATTATCTATGATTATGAGGTATTTCAGTTAGCTGTTTTATTGCAATTACATACAGACGATGTTTTATTAATTGATTAATAAGCAAGTTGGTAATGATAATGACATCATAATTGACAAGAAAAAGATATTCTGCATTTTTTTATTAAGCGCTGCTTAATACGATAGTATGATAACATTATCGGATATATACAGGGTGTTACACATGGCAACAAGTTTCAAATGCTGCAAGAAGCCTATAATAAGTGCAAAGGTAAAGAGAAAACTCAAAATGACAAAGTCAACCATCAAGTCAAAGTCTCAAGCTAAAAAGTGTATTAGAAAGCTTAAATGAAGAAGAAAATAAAGATTGATTGACCTATTACTTTTAAATAGTCTTATCTTAGTTATATAACTTAAGGATTTCAAAGTTAGACCAAAAACTCACAAAAGCGACACATATTCACTTAGATCATGTATACAAGTTCACACACACTAAAAGTTGTTATACATATGTGAAACATGACCATATATACATTAAAAGTCACTTAAAATCATATAGAAGTGATTAGAAATCATCTAGAAGTGATTTGGATCGAAATTGCATATTACTTTTAGTCACCGTTCTGTATTTACTCGAGTAAAATAGGGCATTTACTCGCGTAAATTATTTACCCGGGGAAATGATTTGATTTACCCGAGTAAATATCGAAGAACAATTTACCCGAGAAAGGCATCGACATTTACTTGAGTAAATTCATTAAAGTGACATGATTTTGAAATTTTAGATGTCCAACGGCTATAAATGGTTACTAACTCATTGGGCTCCTATAAAATAGATATCATTAGGGTTCTGAACACAAGAATACACACTGAAAAACTCAGAATCACAAAAATCACGAAATTGTTCTCATTTGGCCTACTTTTGCTTACCTTGGAGGAGAATCTGAATAACTCTCACATCCCCCAATCGTTTTTTGTTCTTTCTATTTCTATTGAACGTAGAGAGATAGATCTACATCTGTTTGGCAAAAGTGAGTTGCTGTAATTGAATCTTGAACGTTTAAAGAGACCCTATAGGTGATAGGTTGAGTGTAATCAAAGGTTTGATCATAGACTTGTAAAAACTCTGTGTAAATCAATTTTTCTAGCACCGGTTGAAAGCTAGAAGATAGTGGAAACAATCGAGATCAGTCTGGAAGTAGCTCTCACGTGATTTAGAGAGTAAACTAGGATAAACCCCAGTGTGATTCTTCCTTACCCTTATCTCTTTGATTTTTATCAATTTATTTCATTTTTTGATTCATGTAATATGTTAAATTGAATCTGTACGAGGGTTGGATAACATAAGAATTCTGTTTTAATTTGTTCTTGAATGATTCCTTGGGGAAAAGGTGGGCTTAAACTTTGAATTTCATCTATTTTTCAATTAATTTGATACCACTGCATATAATCTCTGAATTGCTTCTGAATTTATGTTATTTGGAATGTTTTAATTCTATTTTACATTGGAAAAAAGGTTTACAATATGTTTGAATTCGTTTTTGGTTGAGTGGTATATTAAAAGTTGTATTTTGAGTTGTTTCTTGAAAAAGAATTAACACACAGTTGACCCCCCTATTGTGTGATTGTTTGTGATTGTTTAGCCATATTTACTTTACAACTTTGTTTTTATTTATTTTCCTACATAAATAAAAGTCCAATATAACTTAAATTGTACAGTCATATACCTGTACAAAATTCTTACCTATTAATCCAGTGGCCATAATTAACAGTCAATGTCTATCCGAATATGATAACTAGTATCATTCCGAATATAAAACTGCTGATAGCATTTTCGCTGTAAACTGAACTAATCCAGGGATCTCAATCCCATTATTACATAACACCTGATAAACAATAAGTCCAATTCATCCCAATATCCATATCAATTCATAACAGAATCCATCCATGGATTCCTACAACATTTTGGATCTGTGCCAATTCTTATACATCATAAGATTCCATATCTACATGTTTTTACCTATTACAGTTCCAAAATAAATTGAAATAGCTCATATTCATATCTGTCTTTCAAAACCTATCCAACACATATATCATATACATACGTCGACTATACCAATGCATAATCATTCGTCATGCTATAGAACTAGATACAGTAATCCATTGGTCATGATACAAAGCCTATATATATATATGCATATACAAAATATCTAGACTCCCATCAACTGAGGACCTCGACCCCTAATTACACTTTTTCCTTGACTGGCTCACCTACTGCTACGTGGGTACCTGAAATATATTCCCTAATCAGCGTGAGATTATCCATCTCAGGATTTATGGAGATTTCTCCATCCATGAGTTCACTTCCTGCATGAAAAGTCAAATAACATAGGATAAAAGAAATCATATAGTACAAGCATCTAATCAACTCACGAAACTGCTTGATTAGATGCTTGTTCCCGAAGTTCGGTCATTTTTAACTAAGTCTGATCGCTATGGATTTAGTTATTGCTTGGTTCTCTTATTGATGATTCATTGAGCATAGGATCCATACTTTTGCATCTCCCATGTCCTTAAATTAGTCTATTGTTGGGGACAACAATGAATATATCTGGGAATGATTTGGTAAGTGTCAATTATATCATGTCTTTAGAGCCAAAAGTATACTAAATGTTGATGAATATGGTTAAAGACGTGGTGTATATTATTAAATGCAAAATACTTTGAAGTTTCTCATGTTTGATATGATAATGGCTTAAAAATATATTGGTTTCAGGTTTAAATTGCTATTATGAAGCATTGGAGAGATCATTAAGGTAGAAGGACTTAAAACGATAAATGAAGAGCAACCATTTGGTAAAAATCTTCTTGAAACTGTCTTCTGGTCAATTTTTAGTATCCAAGATGATGGATTTGGATCTTGTGTTATCATAGAAATTGTAGATCTCTCTTTTATCTTTCCAACGAGACAAAGATCACTTCAATTAGACGAGTATAGCTCAAGTTAAGGCCAAATACGAAACCATGTTTTTGCTGTCGAATTTGCTAGCGAAATTTGCTTGCTTTAGCTAGCAACTTAGAGAGCAGTGTCGTTTTAAAGGCCTATGGATCTTCTATTATAAAATACATACGTTAGGGTTTTTCTAAGGACTTTGGCACAATTCTTGGACGACTTTGGAGGCAGAACAACAGATCTGGGAGAGGAAAAAGTGGGGGAACAATCAAGGCTTCGTCGTGGAGACCGGTTACTTCATTATTTTATACTTTTCTTTAGTTTCTTATTTGTTTTCTTAGTTTCTCTAACTATGTCAGGCTAGGTTTCTTTGTAGTTATGGTTAGATAGAACCTTTTGATTCTTGATGATATTTACACTTTTCTTGTAATTTGTTGATATTCAATCTTCATGTTATGCAATTAATCTGTTTTTCATTTCTAGTTTTGTTTATGAATTGATCACTCGATGAACACATGAATCTTGCATGACAATAAGGATGTTGGTGTAGGATTCCAATTGGTTAATTGCTGGGATTTGTTTGATCTAGGGATAAACTTATGAAATCTATGACTTCTTTTCTTTTGTTCATCGTTCTTAATGCTTGCCCTAGGCTGGATCACAAGGGATTAAGATTCTTAATAGGTCAAAGAATTGAAATACCAAGGGATTGAATTTTAATTAATTAGTGATGAAATGTCAATAACATGGGATTGAATATTGATTGAGGGAAATGGTAGATTCATTAGGATGAAATTGGGAAAATCGAATCCCTAACTACGCTTTTGCATTATTAATTTCTTATTTCTTTTTCTAGTTCTTATTCTTGTTCTAGTTCTTATTCTTGTTCTAGTTCTTAGTAGTCTTAATTACTATTTTTATCTTCCAATCATATTCATAAAAACTCGGTTAATCCAACTTTGGTCACATAGTGAACTTAATGCTTCATATATTAATCCTCGTGGAAACAATGACTCTACTTATCATTTTATTACTTATACCACTTGTATAATTGCCATGATTTCACCATTGATAAAGACCAACTAATACAGTACGAAATTATTAAGAGATGTGGAAATCTAAACGATGCACAACACAGAGAGTTTTATTCAAAATTATTGTGGAAGAGTTATTTGAAAAATAATATTTCTAGCAATTCTTGTATGTGCCAGGAAAAGAAATTTTTAAATAACTTGAGTAATCAAAAATTGCTGAAAATCAACAGTACTATATTGATGTTTTCAATATGGCGCTCCATTAAACAGATTACAACAAATGGTAAATAAAAATAGTGTTTTTATTAACAGCAAAATAACATTCGGGAAACGACAATTAACAATAAGTTCTGCATAGTTACTAAACTGTAGAAGACACGAGGCAATGCTCAAGAACAAGACATAAATTACAACGGTGGCGCAGCCAACCATACAAGCAATATTCGTAGGAAACACAAACAGTAGAGAAAGAACAGCAGAGTTTATTCAACAAACAAGGTCATATTCTTGGTCGCCAAATCATTAATAGCAATCTAAGTTGTGTAACCCCCATCTACAGCTATAACTTGTCCAGTGATGTATGATGCAGCAGGAAGGCATAGAAAAACAACTAATGCTGATATCTCTTTAGGCTCTGCCATGCGACCAGCAAGTGTTTGAGACACTATATCTTCCACAGACTCATTCCCACCAGAAGATTTCTGTAAGAAAAGCAGTTACTATGAATATTATTAGCAGTTACATGACATAATAAAAATATTAGGTAAATAAATAAGGACAGGTTATATTTACAAACTTTTTTGTTTACAAACTACACTATGTTCTCCTGGAAGAAGACTGGTTACACTATGTTCTCCCGGGATAACACAGTGTAATTTGTAAAAAATTTCAAAAAATTTTTGTAAAAATATCCTTCCCCAAATAAATATGCTACTCATGGATAAACTTAATTAAATGAACAAATGCATACCGCGACAGACTCCAAAAGTGAAGTCATAACGGGTCCAGGAGCTACAACGTTTGCACGAATATTATCTTTTGCCCATTCCAATGCTAAGTTCTTGGTTAATTGGTTCATAGCTCCTGAATAAAATTATATTATTCAAATAGATTATTTTGTGAGTTATTTATTTCACTCAAATTTTATCAAGTTAGAATCATACTGTTGGGATATATAATATGAATAAAAAAGAAACTTAATTACCTTTAGAAGCTGCGTAAACAGACAAAAGGGGTATAGCTTTGAGACCCGCAATGGATGACACCAATACTATGTTGCCGTATCCAGATGCTTTTAGAAGTGGATATGCAAGTTGACACAAATGATAGGAAGACTCAAAATTTGTACCCATTATTGTGGATATGTCTTCAGCAGTAAAATCTATTATTTTCTTCGTTATTGCTGTAGCAGCATTGTTTACCTAAGAGAGAACCGCTTATGAAATCAACTCAAATATAAGAAGGGTCCGTCGCTTCTCACGTGACTGCTGATGAGAAAAGTTGCAGCAAATTTTTAACATTAGGATACACGTGCGGATTCTATAAAAAAAAAAAAAAAAAATCACGATTCGGACGCGTATCCTGTGTTGCTGCACTTTTTCTCTTCTGCACTCACATAAGAAATACTTTCCCCATATAAGAATACAAAACTAATCAGAAAATGAGGAATCGTATAATTTTACTTTTTCTTCTTTTAATTTCTACATCGATTCATCTTTACTCAACTAATTCCGTCGAATAATATGGAGACTAGAGTTAACTGAAGAAAAGCTAGCATGATGACATAGGAATTCTTGTGCCTCTCAAGTGCATTAATTAACAGATTCAATTCCTCCAAATTAATGCATTTAGAGGATTATGTAGTTGCCTATGAAGGTTGCGCTTAAACTTGTATCTAGAATTGAAATGCATCGCAAAGGTCTTTCATTTATAGATTGCCTCCACTTAGACTTGTATTTCAAAAAATATTTCTTCACTTGTCTTTACACGAAAGGAGAAACAATAAAAAATAAAAAATTTAATGATTGAATCTTACTAGAATGTTCAGCTTTCCGTGAAAGATGGTGGTAACAGTTTCCATTAGTCCTTTGCGTTGGTCATGAGATAGTAAATCGCATACTGACCCTGTCACATTAAGTCCCTTGCTTTTCCACTCTTCCAAACATTTATTAATGTCTTCTTGATTACGTGAACATATATGCACAGCTGCCCCAAATTCTGCTAACTCTTCTACAATTGCATGCCTAATATTCAAAATGTAAAAAATAAAATAAAAAAGAGAGGAATTAACAGAAGAATATTGTAAAAGCAAAGATATCATGTACAAATAAGAGAAGAGATTGAGATTAAAGAACAAACCCTATGCCTCGGGTTCCTCCTGTCACTAGTGCTGTCATCCCATGGAGTGACCATCTTTTGTCTTTCATGCTCAACTTTGTTTCAGCCATTTTTTCTTGTTAATCACTTGGAATTTCAAAATGGAAAAACAGAACACAAACTAGTTTTCCCTGACACTGATGAGAAATTCAAATCGAAATTTTTTATCTTTTATTCTTTGCAAAGAATTATTAACAGGTTTAGTGGTTCTCCAATGCCGAAGAGAATTTGTGGTTCTAAACTCACTCCACCTTATCACTGTGAAGTTTCGCTGACATTATACTTTTTTCAAAGAGAATACAGCAGGTGATAGCAACCTTTGACATTTCGAGCGGTGTTTGGTTCAAGGTTTCCAAATATTTTTCTATGTATTTAATGTTGGGAAATGGTGTAAATTATGTTTGGTAGATAGAATTACAATATTTATCCAGCATCACATTTGCATAGCGTTTGAAAATTGCAATAAAAAAATCACTGTTTAGAAAGACAATTGTAAGGTAGTATTTGTGGTGGTCTCGGTAAATAGGGAAGAAGAAAAAATAGATTTAGACTAAAATATCTTCATCTTTTTGTCGTTAACGTGACCAACATCAACAACATTTCAAAGACCCACACAACATGGGAAACATCACGACAAATATTATACAGTAGTCATTCCATTTTCGAAAAATAGATACAATTAAATAGCCACTACAGTGATATGAAATAAATGGCAATCATGCGCAACAAACAACTTTGTAGAAATTTCTATGACAAAATTTTTATTTTTTTTTTTGTCAACTCTCTCCTCCTTTATCTATCTCTTTCTCTCTCTTCAAATGACACACATTTTTTCCTATATATATATATATAAAATTTTTGAGCAGGGTTATTTAGCACAAGTTAATTTCCATGACAAAAACTAAGAAAAATGTGTAAAAACAAGCATTGTAATTCAGTACGATTTACTTTTTTCTATGGCGAAATACGAATTTCTTGCCATGCATACCTAAACAACTTTGTAGAAATTGTTTTGTGACGAATAAAACTATTTTATTTTATTTTGCATATTTAAAAATTTATCAACCTACTACTAAATTTTTTTCAACCTACTAAAAATTTCCTACTACAATTTTAGTTATATAAAATTGTATATCATCAAAGTAAAAAAATTTAAGACTGTGAAACATAAATTAAACAAAACTTCATTTACTTTTAGTAAAGGATTGAGAGGGCGAGGGAAAAAAAAGATTAGTTGATAGAGAGCAACTCAATACATTACGAAATTATTAAGAGGCATATAATTAAATTTATAGTATGCACAACGAGAGTTCTATTCAATATTATTATGGACGAGTTGCTTAAAAAGTAATAGTTCTTTAACACTCCCTATGGTAAAAGAAAATTTTAAACAACTTGAGATCCGCCTCCTTGCTGGTTTCTCTTTTGCGACAGTGAAGTATGTATTCAGAAATTGTAATTGGGTATCTCATGAACGTGTCCAAATAAAACAACATAACATAACATTACAAATAGATTATACATAATAAAAACACTATCATATCAAAATGTTTATTGAAACACTTAATGATCTGCAACATCTTATATTCTAAACTTCAATACTGCATATCTTATACTTCCAGCAATCCGTTACGCTTTCATCCTAGAGTGTAGCTGATCTGCAATAAACTGCATATTTTAGGGTACAGTTCAGATTCAGAGTACAGATATTAACGGTGATAGAGAAAAAAGTCGGAAGACCAATTTTAGCGATAAACTAAATCAAACGGAAAATGTAGTTAATCATTGGAGAATTAAATAGTATATAACTATAGGCACATTTTAAGAGGCTCAGAGGAGCAGCTAAAAAGAAAACAAGACAACTTCTCTAACATAAATACACAAACTATTTATTTTATTTTATTTTACAAACAGAAAATAATCATTTCTCGGAGAAGTAATTGCCAGTACTAGAGGCGTGAAACTCAAATAGTACCGTTAAACATAGCTTAAATTTCTTAACATGATGCAAAAATTGGTAAAAGCCAATATGTGTGTGACCGAGAGAGAGAGAGAGATGCAAGTAAGTAATATATACCACTTAAAGCAATACCTGTAGAAATTAGGATTGGCTATGACGAAGAATTAAATAAGAAAATTCTAACAATTAGATTCAAGTCATTTGAGCATTTTTTTTAAGACAAATTCTTCCTTTGCATATAATTAAGTAGAAATTATTAATTTATGTAACTATAACAGAGAAAAAAAAATCAAGACCTTAAAAGAAAGAAGTTATGAAAATTATGTACCTGCTAGTCCATGAGCCACCTGTGGCATCTTGCCATATTGACTGCGATCATTACATATACATAGTCGGTCAATCTGTTCAAGAACCTCACGTAAGCAATTCTCCAAGGTCGCCAAAGTAGTATTGGCCCTAATAAGCCCCAAAAACCGGTGAAGAATCCTAGCCCCATGCTCATGTATAATGCTTCGTAGAAAGTTGAATTGTCATTTTTATCATGAACCGCTGATCCTTGAGGCTTTCCCTTTGGCTCATCTTCCGGACAGGTTTTGTTAAGTTGTTCACCACACAAATCCAAATTTCCTTCAAAACTTGAGGCATCAAAAGTCTGCAACTGTCTTCCAAAAGGGATTCTTCCAGAGAGAGAGTTGTTTGATAAGTCTAACTCAGCAAGACGATCAATTTTGGAAAGAGTAGATGGAATTTTTCCAGAAAAATGATTTCTTGATAAGTCAAGAAATTCCAAAAAACTTAAATTCCCAATCTCTGGAGGGATTTCTCCACTCAGATTGTTTCTTGATAAATTCAAAGAAACTAAGCCAAGCAAATATCCAACCTCTTTTGGTATTTCACCATTTAAATTATTACTTGAGAGATCAATGCTCTTAAGACTCACCTCTGGATCCTTGAACCCACGTTCCACACCTTTCCACATGATCGTTATGTTAAACTCATAAGCAAGAAAATCGAAAGCACCATAAATATCAACATAAGTACTATTGTACCCATATCTATGACTTTGAGTATCACTTGAGTTGATGCTTTCTTGAAACATTGCAGTAAAATTCTTTATACAAGTTGGAATTCCTTCTGATAAGTTATTCCTTGAAAGATCCAACAGTTGAATATGCCTTAAATAACAAAGATGAATAGGAAGATTTCCAGAGAAGCCATTACCTCGCATGCTCAAGATGATCAATTGCTGCATATTTTCTCCTATCCATGATGGTATTGGACCGGTCAACAAATTTTCACCCACATCCAACATAATTAAATTACTGCAATTCTTCAAAGTGGAAGGTAGTTCACCCATTAAACTATTGTTTCGTAAAACCAAAGCTTCCAATTTAACAAGTGTGCCCATGGACGGTGGAATCCTCCCTGACAATTTATTATTCCTTAAATCAAGAAACAATAATGAGTTTACAGATTTCCAACAATCTGGCAACTGTCCTTTTATTTGATTGTTTGATAAATCTAAAGTGGCCAAGTTTGCAGTTGCGCCGCTTTTGTCACACAAGAATGAAAATAAATCTGAAAACTTATTTTGGGAAAGCGTAAGTTCTGAAGCTTGTAGCAGAAAAGATGGAACTGCACCCCCAAATTGGTTTGAATTCAGAGATATAGACGGTTTGATAGGAAGTTTTAATGGTAAATTGGGAATTGCACCTACGAGATTATTATGAGACATATTCATCCATTGAATGTAGTCTGACTTGACCCAAAGCCATTCTGGTACAGTGTCATTAATCCCAGCATCAGAAATATCCAGATAGTCTATGGAGCTCTGAGTTTGGAGCCAACCAGGAAAACTCGGACCCAACTTGCAAGATGCAAGATACAAGTCTCTTAATTTGAAAGGAGGAACCCAGCTAGACTCAAATTTGAGAGACAATGAGTTGTATGATAAGTCCAACTCCGTTAATTTGGAAAAATTAGAGAGATGAGATTCAGTGACGTCACCCTCCAAAGAATTCCCCCTCATAGACAAATCTTCCAACTCTGATAGCAATCCAATGCTTTTAGGGATCATGCCAGTAATTCTGTTATAAGATAAATCCAATATGCGTAAGATGCAACATGAAGAATTCTGTATGAAGCTGGAAAGATCCCCACTTAAGGTGTTATTTGAGAGGTATAATATCTGTAAGCTGCACATATTCCCAAAGGAAGTTGGAATCTCTCCTTGCAGTTTGTTAAAGGACAGATCAAGATATTCAAGAGAGTTCATTGCTTTCCCAAATTCTTCTGGAATGGGACCTTCTAACAAGTTCCCAAATAGGTAAAGGCTACGAAGATTGGTGGTGAAGTTAAAAAGCCAATGGAATATAGCAGATGAAGTCAGCAAGTTATAAGAAAGATCAAGGGAGACAAGAGAAGATGAAAAGTTCATATTAAAGGCAGATGGTACAAGAAAGCTTCTATCCCAAAGACTACAGTTTTGTAGATAAAGCTTTTGAAGTTTGGAGCTGAAGTTGAAATTATCTTGAAGCATTGATGATGTCAGATTATTAAAAGAGAGGTCAAGTTTCACGAGAGAAGGGAAGTTTGGATAGAGAGGAAATGAGGAAAAACTATTATAAGAAAGATAAAGCTCCTCAAGATTAAGGCTAATGTTTGACAACAATTGAAATGTTGATGATGTCAGCATATTATCGGAGAGATCAATGATGGTAAGAGAAGTGGAAAAGTTGGAATGAGAATGAAACAGAGATCGAATATCATTATCTAAAAGACTACAAGCAATTAGCCTTAACTCTCTTAAGTTTGGAATAAGCTTACTGATGGTTTGAAGCCAGTACCCAAGTTTATGTGATGAACTCAACTCAAGATTTGTTAAGGAATGGAGATTAGACAACCACTCTGCACCCTTAGTTTCGACATCAAAATCTCCACCAAGCCTAAGAGTATTCAACATAGGAAGATTCCCAATTTGAAAAGGGATTGCTCCAACAAGTGAATTTTCTCCAAGATCAAGATAATGAAGTTCTGAGAGATTCCCAATTTGATAAGGGATAGCTCCAGAAAGTGCATTTCCTCCAAGATCAAGATAACGTAGTTGTCTGAGATTCCCAATCTGCCAAGGTATTACTCCAGAAAGATAAAAATTACCTCCAAGATCAAGATATTGCAGTTGTGAGAGATTTCCAAGTTGATAAGGAATCCTCCCTCGAAATTGAGAATTAGAGAGGTTGAGATATCTTAACTTGATTAAGGATCCCATGAATTCTGGGATGTCACTGCGAAGAAAATCATTAGAGCTGAGGTCCAAATATTCCAAATATTGCAAGTCAATCAATGAAGTGATATTGATTACGCGCAACAAATATTGCGAATTGTTGGCACGAAGATCAAGTATTTGCACATGACCTGTTTCATTGTTGCATTCAATACCTCTCCATCTGCAACAATCTTTCCCCCTCCATGTAGACAACATGCCATAGATATCATGGAGGCCTTGCATGAAGTTGAGGAGAGCTTGTCTTTCCCTCTCAATGCACTTTACTTGTGCACTTTTATGTGGCAAGTTGAATCCGAGAGTAGAACTTGACGTATGCAATAAAAGCAGCAGGAGCAATGCATGAAACATTTTGAGAAAGTAACTATTCATGATGATTTTGTTGATATGTATAAGAGATTCAAAGCTCGACAACAGTATATATAAGAGAAACAAATGAAGAATCCTACGGATGGCACAACAAAAGCAGGATTTTCTGGTTCATACATACTTGTCAGTTCTCACTTTTCCTAGTCCCACCAATTGACCAACTTGCACTTGGAGGAAATCTTGATTTGGTAGAATATGACTGATCGTAAAGTGAGACAAATTGGTATTTCGAAAGTCATGTTTGATTTTTTGATTTGTCTTTTTTTTTTAAATTTTTTTTTCAGTTAATATATTTTATTAACAATTTAGTTCGAGTAGTCAATTCTTTTAAGAGTTTAAAAGACTTTTTTCATCTATTTACTTTGTGCTCAAATTCAATTTCTTTATTTGATAAATGGGATATGTAAAAGATGATTTTTAGAGGACTGGATTGTGAAATATTCTCGTACAAAAAAAGAGAGTACAACATTTGTGTTCATTGGCTTGCTTCTCGTTCTCATAATGGACTTAGCAACTTTAATGCTTTTTATAGCCCCTGTCATGTCACACCTTGCGGATCTTCTGCAGCATGTCAAATAAGTTTTCTTTAATTGTAGTTTCTTAGTTTTGTTCTGTTATGCTTCCCCTTCTTTATTAAAAAAAAAACAAAAAACACTTCATCACAGGTTGTGATACTATATATTACACAATTAATTCTCCCAAAATATTAATTCAATAATAATATACAAAGAAAATATAAAGGGAATTATATAAAAATACAAAATAAACGCATCCAGAACTATCCAGCCTTACTAAGGGCTATATATTCTATTCGGCTGTACAGTAAAATATTTTATTCCTTGGAAATTAATAGGTAATCTTTTTTCTTACAATTTTTTAATTTTTAATATCCATTTTCGAAATCTTCCTTGCTCACAGTAGATATATATCAAACAAGTTTTTTCTATGAAGTAATTCTGTATTTTACTTTATGTATAACAATATTTAAAAAAGATTTAAATCATTAGTTATATTAAGATTGAAAAGGATATATTATAATAAATCACTTATAAAAACTTTAATTCAAAGAAGCTTTTAATAATTTTTTATTATTTTACTGTTACATTTACCAGAAAATCTTCACACGTATAAAAGTTATTTATGGTAAAATATATATATTAATTACGTATATTAAACTAATGATTTTTGCCAAAACTACATATATTAAACTAAGTATATCATTCAGTTGTATGGTTTTTTTTTTTTTTAAAGTTGTATGGTTTTTAATTAGTTTAAATGTCATACTAACATAGTTTGTAAAATTTTCAACCGCTTCTTTGGGTTGATGCCAAACCATATGAGCTTAGATCTTCATATTCGAAGTACCGTATTAGAATTAATGAGGTAAAAACAATAATTAATCAAAACTAATTAAGCACCCAAAAAATAATTTAAATATAATTAACTAATATGGTAAAATAAAATTTAAGACTCTAAATATTTTGAGTAAGCCGAAAATCTACGAATAATTTTATTTAATCTTATTTATTTTGGTTTACAAAGCCAATTAAATAACAATGAAATTATCTGACTTTGCACAATTTATTTTAAAATAACTATCATTTAGTGGATGTAATTATAATTACAATTTTTTTAATTTTGAAAAATTAATGTTGAATTTATCAATAAGAGAATTTGATTTTTGAAATTTATATCCATACCAAAAGTGTCACTTCACGGAAAATGTTGAGTATTACACATACTTCGCATTTAAATAATTATTCTTGTTCGCAGGATATAATCCACATTAGTTAAATTAGGATAAATATGACTACCAAAAAAAAAAATTAGGATAAATATTATATCTCCTTTTTTCACTGTATAATTTCTGTTTTACAATTTGATATGTGATTATTCACATCGACCTTAATGCATTGATGGCTGTTTGCTGCAAAAGATCTGGACCATTGTTTTATTCCAAGTCTTCCAACCCATTTTGTACTGTAGAAAATTACACAGCAGGTCAATCACGTCAAGAAGAAAAATTATACAGGGATGGCAAGTAGTGCCAAGACTCTTAAGTTGTTAATTAGTTCTACGAAGAAATTTTCTACGTAAATATACTTTAAATCAAACCATAATAACTCCAAAACCAAAAAAGAATATGTACCGTTTTATACTGACATCCATGCTTATTTTCTTCTCATTTTTCTAACTTGTTTTATAATGTAGAAAATAAAGCGAAAATCAATAACATCAGAAATGAAAATGAAACTACTGCAAAGGCATGAAGTTGTTATGCACTCAATTTTCGAGGTAATGTTCCATCCACAGGAAGAACTATCTCTGTATTGTTTTATTCTAAGTCTTCCAACCCATTTTGTAAGCCAGAAAATTACACTGGTGTATCACACCGAAAGGAAAATGACACTAGTGGAAAGACTGTAAGTTGTTAGGTCTTCTCATAAGAAATTTCCCAAGTATACTTTATCAAAACCATAAAATTTGCTAATTATAAATTTATTAATTCTTGATATGTGTGATAAAATTCCTGACTCAACAATTTTCGCTATCAACACTACTGTTGGTTGTATCTCCTTCATTTAATTATAATTTTTTTTAAAAGTATAAAAGTAATAATATCATATTCGCCTAAAAATTACAATTTTTATATCGAAGTGATATTTAATATGGTATATGAGAAAATGAATATTAATTTTATTGGAGCAGTTATGAGAAATCATAAGGAGCCGTTTGATATAAGAAAAAAAAAGTTCTTGGGAATCATGATTCTCAAGAATACGCTAAGAAAGTAAATTTTTCAGAAATGTTACCAAAAAATTATTTGGTAGGACAAAATATGTTGGGGTGTGTTCCTGCCTTTAATGCTAATGGCTGAGCATGCACCTCGTTTATGATTGCAAGGCTCAATGTCAGTCCAACCACCTCAATGAATGCTACCTACTTAATCATTGATGGAGATTCTAGAAGAAGCTGGAGGGTTCCCCTCACCTTATAAAAACACACGAAGACCTTTGTAATAGGTTAGCCTAGCTTTAGAGAGAAAACCCTTTGTAGAGAAGTTTGAGTGAGACTTCTTTGAAGAAGAACTTGTAATTAACCACCATTGTTGGTGATGCTTGAGTGCACCTCTAATGTTGCTAGAGATGTTTGAAACTTTGTAATCTTTCTTCTATATAGTGAAAGAATTTCTGGGCTAGTGTTCCGTGATTTTTACTCCTCTACTTTAGGGGAGGTTTTTCACGCTAAAACTTGTTGTGTTTCATATATGTTTCTCTTATTTATGCATTTTTTTTTTGTTTTTCTGCATGTTAATCGACTTGGTGACTTTAGGCCGACCTCAAAGTTTCGAGCTTTGAGATTGACGTGCCAACCTTGAATAGCTTCCGAACTGAATTTAAAGCACCTCGTCCCAACAAAATATTCCCAAAAATGTTGACTCAAATTTTCTGATTCTGTGTTTGGTTGATTGTTAATGATTCTTGGGAATGTGGGCTGATTTTATAAAATTAACCTTTGATGAATTTTTGAAAAAAAATTCTGATATGCCACAAAAGGGTTTCCACAAAAGAGGGTATTTTAGTCATGAAAATATTAAAGCAAAGTTATTTACATCCTATAAGTTATGTAAAATTTTCACCCCAAGTGGGAATCTAAGAATACCACTTGGTGATATTATTTCGTGGGATTCTTATTCACAATTTTAACTCCTAGGAACTCATTTTTCCAAAAAAAAATAAAAAATTAGAACCCTTTTTTTTAACCAAAAATAAAAAAATTATAATCCTTATACCAAACGTGGGTAACTAAGGTTCGCAATGTGAGTTTCTTGGGAATCTAAAATTTATCTATCTACCAAAGAGCCCGTAAAATCGTTTTTTTATTTATATTAAGTTTCATTTGAAAACTTTATTTCTTCTTTGAATTCATTTAAAAGTTTGCAAACTTATTTCTTTTTAAAGTGAAAGAAAAGATTAAAAGTAAAAAAAGGAAAAAGGAAAATAGGTGAAAATAGGAGAAATCAAGTCTGCTCCAGGTGGAGGGCGCTCCAGCGCGCCGTGTACGTGAAATAGAGGAAAATTCTCTGTCCTTGGGCTCTAAAGTGCCTAAGTGGGCGCTCAAGCGCGCGGAAGACCTGTAGAGGGCCTAATTCTCTGCCTCCAAGCGCTTAAATGTAACACCCCGTATATATCCGGTAATGTTATCATATCATCGTATTAAGCTGCGCTTAATTAAAATTGCGCAATATTTTTTTCTTTTCAATTATGATGTCATTAATCATGACCAACTTGATTACTTAACCATTTTCAAAACATCGCCTGTATGTCCATTGCAATAAACAGCTGACTGAAATACCTCATTAATTAAAATAACATAAGTATGTCTCTAGTCACGGAACTACCACACGTAGACCAGACCAACTAGCAGTTTATACAACTCCAACTATAAGTACTAACATCAGCGACATGGACAATCCTCATGCTCACACAAATAAGGCAACAAAGCCCACATCGTCTCAACAACAGCAACATAATAAAAGTAAGCTAATACATCAAATCAGCAGATATAACCAGCATCCAACATGTCAACATAAATAACAGCAATATCATCAACTAAGCTCTGGCCTTCTGCCGCCAGAGACATCAGCCCCCAAATTACCCGAACCTGAAATAAGCATTCCCCAAACGTAGGGTGAGATCTCTAAACAAGAAATCTCAGTAAGGCAAGGGGTCCTTAAGGATCTTCCACTCCAAGCTCACTTACATGTGCAATATAAGTTCAAAAGCAGTTTATCATCATCAATTCTAAAATAGTGTAATGCAGCAGATAATCATGTCATGTGTGTCAATTCTATTCTACTAGCCAGAGAAATGCAGGAATACGTCTATTACCCACACTAATGCAAGACGCCACTTGCACCCACCCACAGTGTCACCGTCTTGTATGACGCCACATACTCAGGCTAATCGTCAAAGTGGAACAACACATGCATATTA